CATCATTGTAAAATCAATACATTCATCCAGGGCCGGATCATAGCTTTTTAACACCCGGGGAAAATTAAAAAAATACGCCCATCTCAGGGAGATGACCAGAATTAGTATTTTTTTTTATCAAGCACCGTCACACAGTATTGCGAGGAACTGAGGACCAACATTTACTAAAAAACCTTTCCAAATATACTGCAGGACCAATCATTTATTTACAACAAATAATTTGAACGATTTTAACTTAAAAATGAAACATTTTAAATTTTAAAATAATCACGTAATATAGTTTTAGAAGCACTTCTTAATGGTGTATTTAAAGATAAAATCTGTGGTCAATATTTCTAAGTTTCAGGTTCAGAATAATTAATAATATTGATAATAATAACATGTATGAGTTATTTATTAACAAATATAAATTAGGTATCCATTGCTTACTTTGAATATAAAACGCTTTATGTAAAAGAACAATATTTAATTTACAACATACCTAACAATATTATACATTTTCATTTTTAATATTAGTTACAATCAAAACTTAATAATATGTACCTAGGTACGGAAAAAATACAATGAAACAAAAATGTTATTATGTACTGAAAATTGTAATATAATGATTATAATACGACAAAGAAATATTTATCATGGATTATCACTTACGGATTGAATGTACCTATATACTAAAATAACTACATTCTACATTCTACATTTTAAAAATTTCCAGAATGATAATAACCCGGTTGTCTATTTGACATCTCGAACTATAAAAATAAATTAGACGAAAAAAACACTTTATAATAAAAAAAAAAACGATCCAAATAGAATATAAATTTCCCTTTAAATTATTTTAATATAATATTTCAAACATAATATTCAATCTGTCTTGGGCTACAATCAATAGGATAGTATTTTTGTTTTAATTATTTAATTATGTTGTACTTTTGTACTATCAAGTTTATCAAGTAAATTAATAGTTGTATACTTGTACCTATTTAAAAAGCAAACACAAATAACAAATTATATTCCATTTTGTGTTCTGTTAAATTTATCTAGTGCGACTAGTGGCCATGGTGATATTTATAAAAAAGTTCAGTTTATAGGCATTAATTGTTAAATACAAAGACTTTTATAAGCCTAGGTACGAACATGTAATTTAATAAATAATCTGAAATACCTAAGTAACATTTTATGCAGTAGGTACCTACCTATTTGGAAAAATATATAGTTGTTAATTTAAAATCACATAAAAATGAATAACAATTATTAATAGGGCCATTTTTAAGATTAAGGTTTTAAATAATATTATCTACATAATATTATATTATATTATATGCAAGAAAATGATGTAATTTACCATACTTTATTATGTCACTAATCGGAGAGTACATTAATCTATGATAGACTAAGGCATGTCACTCCGGCTGACAGTAAGTTGCGGACGGGTTTTATTTATTTTTTCTATTTATTTTATTTTATCTAATTTTTACCTATTTAATATTTGTCCTTTTTAATTTTTAAATCAATGTTATTAGTTATTATAGTTATTACTAATGTCGATTAAAAATAAATTATTTTATTTTATTCCCATACCCAATATTACACATTTCCTGTGAAATATTATTTTGTACCTAGTTTTGACTCTTTGTTTTAAAGTCCATTTTCAATTTTCAATTTACAAAATATTTAAAACCTTAAAAATACGCCCACGGAAATTATACGCCCGGGGATAAATCCCCGACTTCCCCCCCCCAGATCCGGCCCTGCATTCATCGTTCCACTCTGAATCCAAAATCCTAACAATTTAATGTAAGGATTCTCATTAATTTAACTTACAGCGGCCTTAAAACACCAACAATACATTTGTACATCGTTAATGCACTACACCTACCAAATAAAAATTTTTACAATCTAGTCGATACTGTAAATTTGATGCATCTACTGAGTATATCTTTATGTTAACTCTAAAATCCAGTAATCATACTTTTATTTAATGCTTCATAAAATACAATATGCTTTTATAAAAATATGCTTGTACTTCTGTAGATATCTATTCACCGTCTTAATCAATAATTAAATTAATAAACGAAAATAGTAATTTAATTAATACCTATATCATATTATTATAATTCAAATTCAAAATTATAAACTATTTTGGTTTATTGTCATATCAAATTTCAATGAACAAATTGTTCCTTAACTACATGGTTCACTACATGGTGAAATATTTCACAAAAAACGTGAAACATTGAACATTTTTATAACACAGATAAAAACAAATTGTTTATTTTTTCAACACAATGTTCAGTATTCTAAATTCTAATGTAAGAATTCAGTACGTATACAATATACATGAATAATATTGTATACCTACTTGTATCATTTAAACATTAAAATATTTAAAAATTTTGAATACCATTTTAAATTTATTAAATTTATAATACGAAAAGTTATGTATACATAAAGGTACCATACAATTATGAAGGTAATTTATGACAATTATATGTAAATATAAAACTTATTTAAAAATTAAACAAAATTTATTAAAATACTGAAATATTTCATCTTTTTGAATTTCATGAAATTTTCAAATACTAATTATATCCGTGGATTCATTATATTGACGTTACCTAGTATATAATATCTATCATTTATATTCTATGGCAAATCTCAAAGTCGTTGCAGACGAGACAATCGATTAAAAGTTCTAAAATTTCAATAAACAAAGCAGATATGAGCAAAAAACGTACTGCTTTCCGTATAGTTTTATTTTTCATAAATCACAATATTTTAAGTTCTGTATTTTATTTGTTCTTTTGGTGCTTAATTTTACTTTGATTTTTTCTAAATTATATGGTAAAAATAAATCATATTTCGTTATAAAAAAATAATAAAACTTAGAATATTTTAAATTTGTGTGGAAGAATTTATTATGATTATAGCCACATTGACTACAGATTGTTAGGCGTTAGTACAACAGTAGTTTATAGTCATTTTTGCCCAAAAAATTACATTTGAAAGTGTCCTCGTGTATATATAAATTATAATAATATACTCTAAAAGTTTCATAAATCCACGAATACCTACTATTTTTAAATTACAACAAAATAACTAAAATCGTTATTCTTTGTTTTAATAAGTAATTTCGTCCAAATTTAAACTTATAATATCTGTAAAAATTATTAACTGTGTTTTTAATAGATTATTTAGATTTTTTTGGTTACATAATGAACTGTTTATGAGAATTCTTGTTTTAAATTTTCAATCCTTAGCAATAAAAGTTGAACATTTTATAAATTTTTAACTACTAAATAGTAGTAATTTGTAAATTATCAATTTGATAAATTTTGTTTAAATTTTAATTACTTATAAAAAAATCGTGCCTATGGATCTTTATTGTTTCTCAACTGCTATTATAACTACTTATGAGGAAACCTTTATTACATTTTCATATTATAGGTAAACTAAGACATTTTGTAGAAATTTGAACTTTAAATGTCTATAAAAAAAAAGGTGCCTGTATATTTCTAATATTTTTTAGCTGCTATTATATCATCTTACGAAGAACTTTGTATTATTTTTAAGCTTTTTGACTCAACGAATAACATTTTATTGACATTTATAGAATACATATAACTAAAAACGTTTCATAATTATTCATGTGTGTCTATAAATCACTGAAAACGAGTCGAAATATTTTGAAAATTTTGTAATGTATAGAAAATGATAGTTTAACCATTTGATGGATATTTTAAATACCGACGGTCAATAGTTGTTGAATAACAAGAAAATCAGAAAATCGTTATATGAGAATCATATACAAATCATTGTAAAATTAAAACATTCATTGCTCCCGTATAGTCCGCTCTAAAATAAAAACTAACACATAATAGTTAGGTAGGTATAATACAAATTAAACATTATACATATTATAAAATATAATATCTGTAACGCTTAGGTCATAACTCATAAGAATATCTGAATATTGTTGAGCATTTTACTGCAGGCTGCGTGTTATTTCAGAGATGGTATTCGTCATTCAACATTTGCCAACCGTGTATAAAATATCATAAGCAGAATGAAATGTGTGAACGTTGCAGTGTTTGGAAGAATAAGACTTTGATAGCAGATTTTGATTCGGACACGGGGTATGTATTTTTTTATTTTTCAGTAGGTTTCTTTTTATTATTATTATTGTTAATTTATCAAGGGATGTATTGGCCGTAACTTTTCAATTATTTGTATTGTAACTATACTGGTATAACACTATTCTGGCTATCAATAAAGTCGTGATAAAAATTAGGAAATTGGTCGGATATGATATTTTTATCTCACTCTTTTTTTTGCTTACACTTTTTTTGTGGTTGTTATGGTCAAATAAAAAAATTAATTTATCCTTATGCTAAAAAATAAAAGTACATAAATGATTATTTAATAATATTACTCTTATTACACTATTCTATCTCGACACCTTATCCTTAAATTTATTAATTAATTACTATACATGGAGGTAAAGTGATATCGTAAGATTTTTTACGCACTGAAAATCGTTAGAATGCTATACGGGTAACAAAATTTGATAATGTGCTAGAAAAAATTAAAACTGTTGTAATTGTGCTTGCTGTACATAACTTAATTGAGGTATGATATTCTTATTGTATTTCCTTTTAGTATCTATTTTATTTTGCTGATTTTTGATTTACTGAGCTACTATTTTATTAGTACTTCGTAGACTATTTCGAATATTGCAATTCAACATTTGCTTGTGTTTACCTTATTAATTTTACGTGTCTCATTTAAAAAATGTATATACATGGTATTCTTAATATATATTTACCAAGTAAAATTCAAATTCACATTTTTATGTGTTGTAATAAAAACATTTTGTATGTTTTCATTAGGCAAGCATATTCGATAATAATTTTATTTCTTTTCCCACATTTATTATACGTTATATTTATTATATACAATATACATTTTATACTATAATTACAATTATTCTAATGCATTATTTAACGTTCTTTATATTTTTTTAACTGACTAACATGTTTGTATTCGTTTACTAACTGTCCATTTTTAATTATTTCTACTACATAAGTTACATCCGATACTTGCTTCATTATTTTAAACGGGCCGTTGTACCTGTAAGCAAATTTAGATTTTCGTCTTTCGTCTTTAATCAGTACTTTTTCGTTTAATTTAAATTTTACCTGTACCTTATTTGAGTCATAATGTTTTTTATTTTTTAAATATCTGTCCGCTAATAATTTTCTGAGTTCGTCTCGAATATTTTTTAATTTTTCTAATTCCAGTAAAATTTCGGGGGATGTTTCTGTACTTATAAAGTTGTGATCAAATATAAATTTTGGATTATATCCGTGTAATAGGTAAAACGGTGTGTTTTTCGTTGTATCATTAATTGCTGTGTTATACGCAAATAGTACATATTTTAAGTGTAGACTCCATTTATTTGGTTGTTCCTGTACAAAGTGGCTAATCATATCTATCAAAGTCCCGTTGAACTTTTCTGTCTGGCCTTGGCTCTGTGGACGGTATGCAATTGAATATGTGTTTTATATTTATTATTATTATTTATTATTATTTATATTTATTATTTATATTTAGCGCTTTTAGTAAGTCTTTCACCAATTTATTTGCAAAATGTAAGCCTCGGTCAGAGTGTATTTCGCCTATTGCTCCAAATTGTAAAATTATATCTATTAAATATGCGACTGTAGACCTTGCTTCAGCGTTTTTGTATGATTTTGCTATAGCGTATTTTGTAGTTGCGCAAGTTCCTACCAAAATATATGAGTTAAGTATAAGTATAAGTAAAAACTTAAATTCAGCCAACCTTAATTAATGATTTTTTTACCTCAACAAATTATAAAATATATTTTAAAATATAATAAAATATTATTTTATTAGGTTTTTATAAGGTTTTCATTACTTATATGTTAATAGAAATGTATAAAATCAGTAGTTTTAATTTAAAATGGTTTATATCCTATTGTCAATGAATTGTCAAGGTTTCTTTCCCACTTTTTTTTACATTGCACTAAATCTATTTTTTTTTCCGCACATATTTACAGACCAAAACCAATTTTTTTTTCAATTATTTAACTCAAATGTATTAACTAAGTGCCATATGATTTTTTATGATTTTTTATTTGCTTCTTAAAACTCGTTTGCCTGCGGGTGCCCACGATACCCTTTCAAGTTTTTTTTTTCATAAATTTAACTCGATTGATTTTTTTAATATAAATATTTTCAACTTTGTTGAGCCTTAATGTTTAATTTTATCTCATTTATTTTTGCTTTATGATATTAATTTGCCTACAGGCTTCAATGTTCCCCTCCACAATTTTTCTGTTATTTAACTCCTGTTGATCTTTCTATATAGATTTTTTAAACACTGACATATAAAATTTTTTTGCCTTCTAAAATGCATCTGCCTGCGGTCTGCCACGTTCCCCTACTAATTTTTTTTTATGATTTTAACTCAAGCTGAATTTCTTTAATAACCTTTTGCCCTCATAATAATTATTCTTCAATAAACTAATTATTGTGAATAGGTTTAAGATTTTGGACATTTTATTTTTAGGTCTTGCGTTTGTTCTTATTGTATAATTTGTGGGCACCCACGTCCCTCTTTCATATTATAATTATCAATTTAACTGTTTTTGTTCTTTTGTATAGAGTTATTAAACACTGACAACCAGACGCCATCTGGATTTTTTAAATTTTTTATTTGCTTTTTAAAAAGCCTTTGCCTGCCGGTGCCCACTTTCGCCTTTCAATTTTGTTTCAAAGTAACTCAATTGAGTTTTTTATATAAATATTTTGAACATTGATTAGTCTTCAGAGAACACTTGCTATTTAATTTTATCTAAATGTTGTCTATGTTATATGATATTAATTTTCTTGCCGGCTTCCGTATTTCCCTCCACATTTATTTTTCAGTAATTTACCTCCGTTGATCCATTTGTATAGGTTTTTTTAAACACTGACAACCAGGTGTAATCAGTTTTTTTAAATTTTTTATTTTTATTTTTAAAATTTGTTGTTTGCATTCTTCTGTGCTTGTTCTTACTGTATCTAAATCGGTTTCTAAATTTTGTTTTGTTTTCTATAATGCATTTGCTTGCGGGCGTAGATGTCCCCCTTCAATTTTTTTTTCATTTATACATCTCAAATTGATTATTTAAAAAATTATCCAATCTTAGACTGCCAGGTTCCATACAAATTTCTAAAAAATTGTTAAATTTTAAAAAGCGTTTGCCGGTATGTGCCAACGTTCCTTTCATTTTTTTTTTAGACAAGTCTATCTACAAATTCTCTTGATTAAACCGGTGTGATATAGATTCAGGTTGGCCCCCGATTCAGGTAGGCCCGGATTTCTTGGTAATTCCTAGATTCAGGTTGGGCCCAGATTCATGCAGGTCCAGATTTCTTGGTAATTCCTAGATTCAGGCAGGCCCAGATTTTTAGGCAATTCCCAAATTCAGGTAGGCCCAGATATCTAGGAAATTTAAAGATTCAGGCAGGCCTAGATTTCTTTTTAATTCCTAGATTCAGGTTGGGCCCGGATTCATGTAGGCCCAGATTTCTTGGTGATTCCTAAATTCAGGTAGGCCCAGATTCATGTAGGCCCAGATTTAGGTAATCCCAGATTTCTAGGAAATTCAAAGATTCAGGTTGCGCCCAGATTCAGGTAGGCCCAGATTTCTTGGTAATTCCCAGATTCAGGAATGACCCAGATTCATGTATGCCCAGATTTATTTAGGCCCAGATTTCTAGGCAATTCCCAGATTCAGGTAGGTACAGATTTCTTGGTAATTCCTAGATTCAGGCAGGCCCAGATTTCTAGGAGATTCCCAGATTCAGGAACGGCCCAGATTCATGTATGCCCAGATTCAGGTAAGCCCAGATTTCTTGTTAATTCCCAGATTCAGGAATGGCCCAGATTCATGTATGCCCAGAATTATTTAGGCCCAGATTTCTAGGCAATTCCCAGATTCAGGCAGGCCTAGATTTCTAGGAGATTCCCAGATTCAGGCAGGCCCAGATTCATGTATGCCCAGATTTAGGTAGGCCCAGATTTCTAGGCAATTCCAAGATTCAGGTAAGCCCAGATTTCTAGGAAATTCCCAGATTCAGGCAGGCCCAGATTTCTAGGAGATTCCCAGATTCAGGAACGGCCCAGATTCATGTATGCCCAGATTTAGGTAGGCCCAGATTTCTAGGCAATTCCCAGATTCAGGCAGGCCTAGATTTCTAGGAGATTCCCAGATTCAGGAACGGCCCAGATTCATGTATGCCCAAATTTATTTAGGCCCAGATTTCTAGGAAATTCCCAGATTCAGGCGGGCCCAGATTCATGTATGCCCAGATTTAGGTAGGCCCAGATTTCTAGGCAATTCCCAGATTCAGGCAGGCCTAGATTTCTAGGAGATTCCCAGATTCAGGAACGGCCCAGATTCACGTATGCCCAGATTTAGTTAGGCCCAGATTTCTAGGAAATTCCCAGATTCAGGCAGGCCCAGATTTCTAGGAGATTCCCAGATTCAGGAACGGCCCAGATTCATGTATGCCCAGATTTAGGTAGGCAAAGATTTCTAGGCAATTCCAAGATTCAGGTAGGCACAGATTTCTAGGAAATTCCCAGATTCAGGAACGGCCCAGATTCATGTATGCCCAGATTTATTTAGGCCCAGATTTCTAGGAAATTCCCAGATTCAGGCGGGCCCAGATTCATGTATGCCCAGATTTAGGTAGGCCCAGATTTCTAGGCAATTCCCAGATTCAGGCAGGCCTAGATTTCTAGGAGATTCCCAGATTCAGGAAATTCCCAGATTCAGGCAGGCCCAGATTTCTAGGAGATTCCCAGATTCAGGAACGGCCCAGATTCATGTATGCCCAGATTCAGGCAGGCCCAGATTTCTAGGAGTTTCCCAGATTCAGGAACGGCCCAGATTCATGTATGCCCAGATTTAGGTAGGCCCAGATTTCTAGGCAATTCCAAGATTCAGGTAGGCCCAGATTTCTAGGAAATTCCCAGATTCAGGCAGGCCCAGATTTCTAGGAAATTCCCAGATTCAGGCATTAAGAATTCGTAAAAATTTTTCTTTTTAAATCTAATATTTTAAAATCTAATACAAGATTAGTCATAAGATTGTCTACCTTTATCAATAAAAAAATTTCTACCGGAAAGTCAAATTAAATTTTTATGAGCGTTTGAAATTCAAATTTTTACAACATTGGATATTCACTCGATTTCTCATGTGGCAATTTCCTTTTTTTGTTGTTATTCATAAACGAATAACTATAGATACATGAAAATTTCACTGAATGTTTATATTAGCATTTCTTATACACCATACAATTTTGAAAATATTTTTTCTTTTTGAGCTGTTTACGGTAATTTTAATTTTTCAATTTTTTTAGTTTTTTTTTTCTATGAATATCAATAAAGTTTTATCTGTTGGGCCAAAAAGTGTAAAAATTTAATACAAGGCTCCTGATATATTGTTACAATATCAGTTGCAAATATTAAAACAGGAACGGCCCAGATTCATGTATGCCCAGATTTAGGTAGGCCCAGATTTCTAGGCAATTCCAAGATTCAGGTAGGCCCAGATTTCTAGGAAATTCCCAGATTCAGGCAGGCCCAGATTTCTAGGAAATTCCCAGATTCATGTATGCCCAGATATTTAGGCATTTCCCAGATTCAGGCAGGCCCAGATTTCTAGGAAATTCCCAGATTCAGGCATTAAGAATTCGTAAAAATTTTTCTTTTTAAATCTAAGATTTTAAAATCTAATACAAGATTACTCATAAGATTGTCTACCTTTATAAATAAAAAAATTTCTACCGGAAAGTCAAATTAAATTTTTATGAGCGTTTGAAATTCAAATTTTTACAACATTGGATATTCACTCGATTTCTCATGTGGCAATTTCCTTTTTTTTGTTGTTATTCATAAACGAATAACTATAGATACATGAAAATTTCACTGAATGTTTATATTAGCATTTCCTATACACCATACAATTTTGAAAATATTTTGACTCTTTTTGAGCTGTTTACGGTAATTTTAATTTTTCAATTTTTTTAGTTTTTTTTTTCTATGAATATCAATAAAGTTTTATCTGTTGGGCCAAAAAGTGTAATAATTTAATACAAGGCTCCTGATATATTGTTACAATATCAGTTGCAAATATTAAAAATACATAGGAACAATTTTTTTTTTATAAGCATTCAACATCGAATTTTTTACAAAATTTTTCAAAATTTCGAAAATTATCAATAATTGTAATTAATAAATTATAAAATGTTCAGTTTTTATAGCTAGAATTGAAACTATAAAACAAGATTCCACGTAAGTAGTTAATTCTCTTACCGAAAAATCTAAAAAATATACAATCACAGTTTATTTTTATAGTCATTTTATGTTCAAATTTGGACGAAATTACATACTAAAAAACCTAGTTATTTTGTTGTGATTAAAAAATATTATTCGTGGGTAACTACTTGAAACTTCTAAAGTGTACTATTATATATCTATGATAGTATCAGGGTTTGTTATTGATGTTGATGTATAACGTGTTATAAGTACCTAATGGATATTGTGATAATGTGATATGATTAATTTGGATTTATTATAGGTCAATTTTTTTTTAATACCATAGATATGTATATAATTTGCCTTTGAAACAATATATTAGGAGCCGTCTATTAAATTTTCAAGCTTAATTTCGAATTTCTAATTTCTAATAATTTCTAATAATTTCTACTTTCTTATTTCTACTTTCTACTTTCTTATTTCTAATTTAATTTGACTTTCCGGTAGAGATTTTTTTATTGATAAAGGTAGACAATCTTATGAGTAATCTTGTATTAGATTTTCAAATCTTAGATTTAAAAAGAAAAATTTTTACGAATTCTTAATGCCTGAATCTGGGAATTTCCTAGAAATCTGGGCCTGCCTGAAGCTGGGAAATGCCTAAATATCTGGGCATACATGAATCTGGGAATTTCCTAGAAATCTGGGCCTGCCTGAATCTGGGAATTTCCTAGAAATCTGTGCCTACCTGAATCTTGGAATTGCCTAGAAATCTGGGCCTACCTAAATCTGGGCATACATGAATCTGCGCCGTTCCTGAATCTGGGAATCTCCTAGAAATCTGGGCCTGCCTGAATCTGGGAATTTCCTAGAAATCTGGGCCTAACTAAATCTGGGCATACATGAATCTGGGCCGTTCCTGAATCTGGGAATCTCCTAGAAATCTAGGCCTGCCTGAATCTGGGAATTGCCTAGAAATCTGGGCCTACCTAAATCTGGGCATACATGAATCTGGGCCCGCTTGAATCTGGGAATTTCCTAGAAATCTGGGCCTTAATAAATCTGGGCATACATGAATCTGGGCCGTTCCTGAATCTGGGAATTTCCTAGAAATCTGTGCCTACCTGAATCTTGGAATTGCCTAGAAATCTTTGCCTACCTAAATCTGGGCATACATGAATCTGGGCCGTTCCTGAATCTGGGAATCTCCTAGAAATCTGGGCCTGCCTGAATCTGGGAATTGCCTAGAAATCTGGGCCTACCTAAATCTGGGCATACATGAATCTGGGCCCGCTTGAATCTGGGAATTTCCTAGAAATCTGGGCCTTAATAAATCTGGGCATACATGAATCTGGGCCGTTCCTGAATCTGGGAATTTCCTAGAAATCTGTGCCTACCTGAATCTTGGAATTGCCTAGAAATCTTTGCCTACCTAAATCTGGGCATACATGAATCTGGGCCGTTCCTGAATCTGGGAATCTCCTAGAAATCTGGGCCTGCCTGAATCTGGGAATTTCCTAGAAATCTGGGCCTAACTAAATCTGGGCATACATGAATCTGGGCCGTTCCTGAATCTGGGAATCTCCTAGAAATCTAGGCCTGCCTGAATCTGGGAATTGCCTAGAAATCTGGGCCTACCTAAATCTGGGCATACATGAATCTGGGCCCGCCTGAATCTGGGAATTTCCTAGAAATCTGGGCCTAAATAAATCTGGGCATACATGAATCTGGGCCGTTCCTGAATCTGGGAATCTCCTAGAAATCTAGGCCTGCCTGAATCTGGGAATTGCCTAGAAATCTGGGCCTACCTAAATCTGGGCATACATGAATCTGGGCCGTTCCTGAATCTGGGAATCTCCTAGAAATCTGGGCCTGCCTGAATCTGGGAATTTCCTAGAAATCTGGGCTTACCTGAATCTTGGAATTGCCTAGAAATCTGGGCCTACCTAAATCTGGGCATACATGAATCTGGGCCTGCCTGAATCTGGGAATTGCCTAGAAATCTGGGCCTACCTAAATCTGGGCATACATGAATCTGGGCCCGCCTGAATCTGGGAATTTCCTAGAAATCTGGGCCTAAATAAATCTGGGCATACATGAATCTGGGCCGTTCCTGAATCTGGGAATTTCCTAGAAATCTGTGCCTACCTGAATCTTGGAATTGCCTAGAAATCTTTGCCTACCTAAATCTGGGCATACATGAATCTGGGCCGTTCCTGAATCTGGGAATCTCCTAGAAATCTGGGCCTGCCTGAATCTGGGAATTTCCTAGAAATCTGGGCCTAACTAAATCTGGGCATACATGAATCTGGGCCGTTCCTGAATCTGGGAATCTCCTAGAAATCTAGGCCTGCCTGAATCTGGGAATTGCCTAGAAATCTGGGCCTACCTAAATCTGGGCATACATGAATCTGGGCCCGCCTGAATCTGGGAATTTCCTAGAAATCTGGGCCTAAATAAATCTGGGCATACATGAATCTGGGCCGTTCCTGAATCTGGGAATCTCCTAGAAATCTAGGCCTGCCTGAATCTGGGAATTGCCTAGAAATCTGGGCCTACCTAAATCTGGGCATACATGAATCTGGGCCGTTCCTGAATCTGGGAATCTCCTAGAAATCTGGGCCTGCCTGAATCTGGGAATTTCCTAGAAATCTGGGCTTACCTGAATCTTGGAATTGCCTAGAAATCTGGGCCTACCTAAATCTGGGCATACATGAATCTGGGCCTGCCTGAATCTGGGAATTGCCTAGAAATCTGGGCCTACCTAAATCTGGGCATACATGAATCTGGGCCCGCCTGAATCTGGGAATTTCCTAGAAATCTGGGCCTAATTAAATCTGGGCATACATGAATCTGGGCCGTTCCTGAATCTGGGAATTTCCTAGAAATCTGTGCCTACCTGAATCTTGGAATTGCCTAGAAATCTTTGCCTACCTAAATCTGGGCATACATGAATCTGGGCCGTTCCTGAATCTGGGAATCTCCTAGAAATCTGGGCCTGCCTGAATCTGGGAATTTCCTAGAAATCTTTGCCTACCTAAATCTGGGCATACATGAATCTGGGCCGTTCCTGAATCTGGGAATCTCCTAGAAATCTAGGACTGCCTGAATCTGGGAATTGCCTAGAAATCTGGGCCTACCTAAATCTGGGCCTAAATAAATTTGGGCATACATGAATCTGGGCCGTTCCTGAATCTGGGAATCTCCTAGAAATCTAGGCCTGCCTGAATCTGGGAATTGCCTAGAAATCTGGGCCTACCTAAATCTGGGCATACATGAATCTGGGCCGTTCCTGAATCTGGGAATCTCCTAGAAATCTGGGCCTGCCTGAATCTGGGAATTTCCTAGAAATCTGGGCTTACCTGAATCTTGGAATTGCCTAGAAATCTGGGCCTACCTAAATCTGGGCATACATGAATCTGGGCCTGCCTGAATCTGGGAATCTCCTAGAAATCTAGGCCTGCCTGAATCTGGGAATTGCCTAGAAATCTGGGCCTAAATAATTCTGGGCATACATGAATCTGGGCCATTCCTGAATCTGGGAATTAACAAGAAATCTGGGCTTACCTGAATCTGGGCATACATGAATCTGGGCCGTTCCTGAATCTGGGAATCTCCTAGAAATCTGGGCCTGCCTGAATCTAGGAATTACCAAGAAATCTGTACCTACCTGAATCTGGGAATTGCCTAGAAATCTGGGCCTAAATAAATCTGGGCATACATGAATCTGGGTCATTCCTGAATCTGGGAATTACCAAGAAATCTGGGCCTACCTGAATCTGGGCGCAACCTGAATCTTTGAATTTCCTAGAAATCTGGGATTACCTAAATCTGGGCCTACATGAATCTGGGCCTACCTGAATTTAGGAATCACCAAGAAATCTGGGCCTACATGAATCCGGGCCCAACCTGAATCTAGGAATTAAAAAGAAATCTAGGCCTGCCTGAATCTTTAAATTTCCTAGATATCTGGGCCTACCTGAATTTGGGAATTGCCTAAAAATCTGGGCCTGCCTGAATCTAGGAATTACCAAGAAATCTGGACCTGCATGAATCTGGGCCCAACCTGAATCTAGGAATTACCAAGAAATCCGGGCCTACCTGAATCGGGGGCCAACCTGAATCTATATCACACCGGTTTAATCAAGAGAATTTGTAGATAGACTTGTCTAAAAAAAAAATGAAAGGAACGTTGGCACATACCGGCAAACGCTTTTTAAAATTTAACAATTTTTTAGAAATTTGTATGGAACCTGGCAGTCTAAGATTGGATAATTTTTTAAATAATCAATTTGAGATGTATAAATGAAAAAAAAATTGAAGGGGGACATCTACGCCCGCAAGCAAATGCATTATAGAAAACAAAACAAAATTTAGAAACCGATTTAGATACAGTAAGAACAAGCACAGAAGAATGCAAACAACAAATTTTAAAAATAAAAATAAAAAATTTAAAAAAACTGATTACACCTGGTTGTCAGTGTTTAAAAAAACCTATACAAATGGATCAACGGAGGTAAATTACTGAAAAATAAATGTGGAGGGAAATACGGAAGCCGGCAAGAAAATTAATATCATATAACATAGACAACATTTAGATAAAATTAAATAGCAAGTGTTCTCTGAAGACTAATCAATGTTCAAAATATTTATATAAAAAACTCAATTGAGTTACTTTGAAACAAAATTGAAAGGCGAAAGTGGGCACCGGCAGGCAAAGGCTTTTTAAAAAGCAAATAAAAAATTTAAAAAATCCAGATGGCGTCTGGTTGTCAGTGTTTAATAACTCTATACAAAAGAACAAAAACAGTTAAATTGATAATTATAATATGAAAGAGGGACGTGGGTGCCCACAAATTATACAATAAGAACAAACGCAAGACCTAAAAATAAAATGTCCAAAATCTTAAACCTATTCACAATAATTAGTTTATTGAAGAATAATTATTATGAGGGCAAAAGGTTATTAAAGAAATTCAGCTTGAGTTAAAATCATAAAAAAAAATTAGTAGGGGAACGTGGCAGACCGCAGGCAGATGCATTTTAGAAGGCAAAAAAATTTTATATGTCAGTGTTTAAAAAATCTATATAGAAAGATCAACAGGAGTTAAATAACAGAAAAATTGTGGAGGGGAACATTGAAGCCTGTAGGCAAATTAATATCATAAAGCAAAAATAAATGAGATAAAATTAAACATTAAGGCTCAACAAAGTTGAAAATATTTATATTAAAAAAATCAATCGAGTTAAATTTATGAAAAAAAAAACTTGAAAGGGTATCGTGGGCACCCGCAGGCAAACGAGTTTTAAGAAGCAAATAAAAAATCATAAAAAATCATATGGCACTTAGTTAATACATTTGAGTTAAATAATTGAAAAAAAAATTGGTTTTGGTCTGTAAATATGTGCGGAAAAAAAAATAGATTTAGTGCAATGTAAAAAAAAGTGGGAAAGAAACCTTGACAATTCATTGACAATAGGATATAAACCATTTTAAATTAAAACTACTGATTTTATACATTTCTATTAACATATAAGTAATGAAAACCTTATAAAAACCTAATAAAATAATATTTTATTATATTTTAAAATATATTTTATAATTTGTTGAGGTAAAAAAATCATTAATTAAGGTTGGCTGAATTTAAGTTTTTACTTATACTTATACTTAACTCATATATTTTGGTAGGAACTTGCGCAACTACAAAATACGCTATAGCAAAATCATACAAAAACGCTGAAGCAAGGTCTACAGTCGCATATTTAATAGATATAATTTTACAATTTGGAGCAATAGGCGAAATACACTCTGACCGAGGCTTACATTTTGCAAATAAATTGGTGAAAGACTTACTAAAAGCGCTAAATATAAATAATAAATATAAATAATAATAAATAATAATAATAAATATAAAACACATATTCAATTGCATACCGTCCACAGAGCCAAGGCCAGACAGAAAAGTTCAACGGGACTTTGATAGATATGATTAGCCACTTTGTACAGGAACAACCAAATAAATGGAGTCTACACTTAAAATATGTACTATTTGCGTATAACACAGCAATTAATGATACAACGAAAAACACACCGTTTTACCTATTACACGGATATAATCCAAAATTTATATTTGATCACAACTTTATAAGTACAGAAACATCCCCCGAAATTTTACTGGAATTAGAAAAATTAAAAAATATTCGAGACGAACTCAGAAAATTATTAGCGGACAGATATTTAAAAAATAAAAAACATTATGACTCAAATAAGGTACAGGTAAAATTTAAATTAAACGAAAAAGTACTGATTAAAGACGAAAGACGAAAATCTAAATTTGCTTACAGGTACAACGGCCCGTTTAAAATAATGAAGCAAGTATCGGATGTAACTTATGTAGTAGAAATAATTAAAAATGGACAGTTAGTAAACGAATACAAACATGTTAGTCAGTTAAAAAAATATAAAGAACGTTAAATAATGCATTAGAATAATTGTAATTATAGTATAAAATGTATATTGTATATAATAAATATAACGTATAATAAATGTGGGAAAAGAAATAAAATTATTATCGAATATGCTTGCCTAATGAAAACATACAAAATGTTTTTATTACAACACATAAAAATGTGAATTTGAATTTTACTTGGTAAATATATATTAAGAATACCATGTATATACATTTTTTAAATGAGACACGTAAAATTAATAAGGTAAACACAAGCAAATGTTGAATTGCAATATTCGAAATAGTCTACGAAGTACTAATAAAATAGTAGCTCAGTAAATCAAAAATCAGCAAAATAAAATAGATACTAAAAGGAAATACAATAAGAATATCATACCTCAATTAAGTTATGTACAGCAAGCACAATTACAACAGTTTTAATTTTTTCTAGCACATTATCAAATTTTGTTACCCGTATAGCATTCTAACGATTTTCAGTGCGTAAAAAATCTTACGATATCACTTTACCTCCATGTATAGTAATTAATTAATAAATTTAAGGATAAGGTGTCGAGATAGAATAGTGTAATAAGAGTAATATTATTAAATAATCATTTATGTACTTTTATTTTTTAGCATAAGGATAAATTAATTTTTTTTATTTGACCATAACAACCACAAAAAAAAGTGTAAGCAAAAAAAAGAGTGAGATAAAAATATCATATCCGACCAATTTCCTAATTTTTATCACGACTTTATTGATAGCCAGAATAGTGTTATACCAGTATAGTTACAATACAAATAATTGAAAAGTTACGGCCAATACATCCCTTGATAAATTAACAATAATAATAATAAAAAGAAACCTACTGAAAAATAAAAAAATACATACCCCGTGTCCGAATCAAAATCTGCTATCAAAGTCTTATTCTTCCAAACACTGCAACGTTCACACATTTCATTCTGCTTATGATATTTTATACACGGTTGGCAAATGTTGAATGACGAATACCATCTCTGAAATAACACGCAGCCTGCAGTAAAATGCTCAACAATATTCAGATATTCTTATGAGTTATGACCTAAGCGTTACAGATATTATATTTTATAATATGTATAATGTTTAATTTGTATTATACCTACCTAACTATTATGTGTTAGTTTTTATTTTAGAGCGGACTATACGGGAGCAATGAATGTTTTAATTTTACAATGATTTGTATATGATTCTCATATAACGATTTTCTGATTTTCTTGTTATTCAACAACTATTGACCGTCGGTATTTAAAATATCCATCAAATGGTTAAACTATCATTTTCTATACATTACAAAATTTTCAAAATATTTCGACTCGTTTTCAGTGATTTATAGACACACATGAATAATTATGAAACGTTTTTAGTTATATGTATTCTATAAATGTCAATAAAATGTTATTCGTTGAGTCAAAAAGCTTAAAAATAATACAAAGTTCTTCGTAAGATGATATAATAGCAGCTAAAAAATATTAGAAATATACAGGCACCTTTTTTTTTATAGACATTTAAAGTTCAAATTTCTACAAAATGTCTTAGTTTACCTATAATATGAAAATGTAATAAAGGTTTCCTCATAAGTAGTTATAATAGCAGTTGAGAAACAATAAAGATCCATAGGCACGATTTTTTTATAAGTAATTAAAATTTAAACAAAATTTATCAAATTGATAATTTACAAATTACTACTATTTAGTAGTTAAAAATTTATAAAATGTTCAACTTTTATTGCTAAGGATTGAAAATTTAAAACAAGAATTCTCATAAACAGTTCATTATGTAACCAAAAAAATCTAAATAATCTATTAAAAACACAGTTAATAATTTTTACAGATATTATAAGTTTAAATTTGGACGAAATTACTTATTAAAACAAAGAATAACGATTTTAGTTATTTTGTTGTAATTTAAAAATAGTAGGTATTCGTGGATTTATGAAACTTTTAGAGTATATTATTATAATTTATATATACACGAGGACACTTTCAAATGTAATTTTTTGGGCAAAAATGACTATAAACTACTGTTGTACTAACGCCTAACAATCTGTAGTCAATGTGGCTATAATCATAATAAATTCTTCCACACAAATTTAAAATATTCTAAGTTTTATTATTTTTTTATAACGAAATATGATTTATTTTTACCATATAATTTAGAAAAAATCAAAGTAAAATTAAGCACCAAAAGAACAAATAAAATACAGAACTTAAAATATTGTGATTTATGAAAAATAAAACTATACGGAAA